GGGGGGGGGCTAGGCAGGCCTTGGGGCCAGCCAAGGCCAACTGACCCCTGTCCCATCCACCCCCAGGATGCCAAGCCCCTCGAGGTGTACAGTGTGGACTTCATGGTGGATAATGCCCAGCTGGGCTTCCTGGGTGAGCGGGCACAGACCGAGGGCGGGGGGACAACTGGGCTGGATAGGAGGACTAGGCAGCTGACCTTTCCGGCCTCACCTCTCCAGTGTCTGACCGTGACCGCAACCTCATGGTATACATGTACCTGCCAGAAGGTGAGTGGGGGACTAGGGACCAAGGGGCCTGCTGGGGCTGGGGAAGGTGCTGGGTGGGCAGTGACCGCCGTCTCTGCCCAGCTAAAGAGAGTTTTGGAGGGATGCGCCTGCTGCGCCGGGCGGACTTCCATGTGGGCGCCCACGTGAACACCTTCTGGAGGACGCCCTGCCGGGGCGCCGCTGAGGGACCCACCAAAAAGTCTGTGGTGTGGGAGAACAAGCACATCACGTGGTTCGGTGAGCGGGGGCTGCGCGGGGCAGGGGCGGTGGGGTGCTGGCACTGGCTCACACCTCACCCTTCACTCCTTGGCCCCACAGCTACCCTGGATGGCGGCATTGGGCTGCTGCTGCCCATGCAGGAGAAGACCTACCGCCGGCTGCTCATGCTGCAGAACGCACTCACCACCATGCTGCCCCACCACGCGGGTCTCAACCCTCGAGCCTTCCGGTGTGTGGCTCTCCCCACCGCCTGGCGCCTAATCCTGACCCTGCATGCCCCTGACCCTGCCCTTGTGTGCCCCCCAGCATGCTACACGTGGACCGGCGTGTCCTGCAGAACGCGGTGCGCAATGTGTTGGATGGGGAGCTGCTGAACCGCTACCTCTACCTGAGCACCATGGAGCGTGGGGAGCTAGCCAAGAAGATTGGCACCACGCCAGACATCGTGAGTAACCCACCTCCACTTCTACCCCCCAATGCCCCTGCCCACTGCCCCCACCCGCTCACAGCCTCCCCTGTCCCCGCAGATCCTCGATGATCTCCTGGAGACGGACCGAGTCACTGCGCACTTCTAGCCTGTGGAGGTGCTGCCACCCCCAGCCCCCCTCCTCTTTTTGTACAAAACACAGGAAATGATTGGTTTTTGAAAATTTGTTTGAAAAGGTGTGGTCATTGCAGGCCTCCCGATCCTGCCCTCCCTTTCGTCCCCCCAAGGCTGCCCTTGCTCCAGCCATCCTGTGCGTCTGAGCATCTGCGTCGTTAGCCTGGGGCACAGCTCCAATGGCCGTGGAGAGGGCATGGGGGGAGCAGCCGCAGTGTCCTTGGTCCTCTGTGCTGCTCGGGGGGCGGGCACCTAAGTCTCCAGGTACTCGTAGAGACCCTCTGGCTCGGCCATGAGGCCTAGCTTGACGAGACTGCGGACTACCAGGGCGGTGAGCCGCATCAGGATGATCTCCAGCCTGGAGGAGGGCCAGGTCACAAGGATGCAGATGGATGGGCAGTGGGGCCTTGGCCCCACCCTGCCAGCCCAGTGTCCACTCACCTCAGGGCCACTTCGAATTTGAGCATCTCCCATATCACCTTGATTCTGCGCAGGAGGCCTACATGGTAGATGCCCTGATACGAGGCGCCCACCAGGCGGCTCCAGCCGTTGACAGCACTGCCGGCAGGGGCACACCTGAGTCAGTTCACACTGCGCTTGCCCCAGCCCACGCCGACCCTGCCCCTCTTGTGGGACCCAGGGGCGGAGCCACAGACCTCTTGGCCATGAGGAAATAGCGGTCAACGGGGGCCCCGAGGGTGGCGTTGATGGCCCGCACAGTGTTGATGTTGCGCAGCACGAGCAGCATGGGGCGCGGCAGGGCCTTGAGCAGGCGCATGATGTCCTCAAAGTGCTCTCGGGCCATTTCCTGCATGTAGGCCAGCTCCTCCCGGCTCAGCAGGTGGGAGCGCCACAGCTGGCCCAGCCGCACAGGCCTCTGCATCAGCACCTCGCAGAACAGGAGGTGGTCTGGAGGACAGGGGGGCTCAGCGGCTCTGCGCCCCGGGGCCCCGCCCTGCCGTGCTCACCTGGTGCGCCAAGTGCCGCAGCGTGCGCCTTCATCGCTGCGCTGTCCCTCAGGATGATAGCACGCCACAGCTGGCACAGTGCCGAGCGGTCCCTGTAGGCCAGCGGGCTCAGCCAAGGCGTCGAGGAGGAGAGCCTGGGCGGACACGCGCGTGCGCGCGCGCACAC